AGCTGGGACTATAGGCGCCCGCCACAAAGCCTGGCTATTTTTTTTTTGGTTGCAGCTGTCATTGTTGTTTGGCGGACCCAGGCTGGATTCGAACCCACCAGCTCAGGTGTATGTGGCTGGAGCCTTAGCTGCTTGAGCCACAAGGACCGAGCCCAGGTATATCTTTAGAAATCTTTAGAAAACTATATAATTCTATTCATTATAAAATAGGTTTTAATTTCAAACTGGAAATATACTTTCTCTACTAATCATATCCAATGCCTAACTACATAGTTCAGATGTAGCAATATTTATGAACAAATGGAGCATGCAATTCCTTTGAAATGCAATGCTCCTAAAATTTTTCTAGGTTCAGATTTCATGATTGCACAATGGTCCTTAAAAAGATTTCCCAACAGACTAAGCCCTGCTTCTTTAGGTACTGCGCACAAGGGTAAATATGTGGAAGTCAAACAGCACAGCACAGCACAGCTGGGCATGGCAACTATCACCTGTGGTCTTTGTCACTTAGGAGGCCGAGTCTGGAGGACGGCTTGAGCCCAGGGAGTACTGAGTCCAGGCTGGGCAATGTAATCCAACTCTTATCACTAAAATAAATAAGTAGAAAACTTAACAAATCAATTGTTTTAGGTAAAAACAATCTGTTAAATGTTTGGATTAATGGATGTTAGGATATGTAACACACCAAGAAGTAGTTACTCATTCTGTTTATTGGTTTGAAAGAAAGGGAATACAAATGACTGGCTAAGTGCTGCGCACTAACATGGAAAAGGTGTATTAAAAAAAAAACCCAGTAAAGCAAATCAAAGTTAATGTAGTTTCAATTGAACAGGATTTTTATGTTTAATATACTACACATTTATAAAATAAAAGTCAACAAAGGGTATTTTGTAAATAATTAGTAGAACAAGTGAAAATAAATATCAGAGACCTGAAATTTTTATACTTTAATGAAATAAAACAAAGAAATTTAAACTACTAAATGTAATCTGAGAGGCAGTTAAAAAAAAACAAACAAAAACAAACCCCCCCAAATTTAAGAACACAATCCTTTGAAACATTTAATCAGTCCATTGCAAATAGTTATTACATACCAAAAGCTCTAAAGTGTTAACTAGTTCCACCACAATGCCATGTAAATCTTGACAATTTAGAAATCTTGAGATCAACACTTAAGTTCTTTTCTTGATCTCTACAGCTTGGTTTTTAAGTACATACATGCTTTTGTGGATCTGTTCCCCTCGCCACACACATACATTTTCAAGGAGCCAATAACATTTTTTTCCATCTGTGCCTAAAAATGTTACAATTCAGTTCTAGCACATTGACCCTGATAATGAAAATGTTTTAAGTTAAAGATGGGGACACGGTATCAATCTTATAAAAATATACCAGTATTAACTAAACCTTAAACTCAGAGAGGGCACTTCACATGTGCACAAGACCTTTAGTAAAAATGGCAAGAACCTAGAACAGCCGTTTCCAGGACTTCTCGTGAATTAAGTACTCTCTCCCATACATAAACACAACACACACAAACATACATTTTTATACTATTAGTTTTGTTAAATCCAGGCTATCTGGATTGAGTAGATAGGGGATGGGTTTTTATAGGTTTTGCAACTACAGGGCAGCTACTATAACAATAGCTTAACAACACTGAAAAATTTCAATTAAGTTCACCCTGTTCTTAGAAAGTGTCTAAGTGTAAATGCAAATTCACCTCTTCTTTTAAAGTTAGTTTCTATTAAATCAGATATGGTTTCTAAAGTGGAAGCAATCTTTCAGAGAGCAACTCAAAAAGGAGAGTTGCTAAAGTCTAAATAAGAAATTAAAGTAAAATCAATCAAAATACTTATAACATTTTAGAGGTGGGACAAAAAGGATATTAAGAAAAATGTCTTCTTTCCTCCCCAATCAAAATCAGCCATTCTTCTGCTGTGAAAGAAACTGACATGGATATTTCTCTTTCAAGAGATGTACGATATATTTACCCACTGTGAGGCAGAGGTGATAGGGTCAGTTCTTGTTTGCAGGAACCAACATCTAAAAAAGAAAATTTCAGATGGGGAGGGGTGGGAAAGAAGGATTTTCTATTAATGTCATGGAATGCCACTCTAGAGGCAGAACACTCCTAATAATAAAACTCACCATATAATAATTACTTGTGTTTTTTCAAGTTAAGAAAATATTGACAAGATTGGATTTTTTAATCTTTTGACTAACAGGGTAAATAAATTACTTAAAGTTAGGGAATCCCTTTTTGTTCTCCCACCCAATGAAATGGGCCAATTTGTAGGGATATTTGGAAATAAAATTTCCTGCTTAAACTACTTACCTGGTTTAATATATTTATCTGGCCAATAAGAGCAAAAGAAATGTAGCTGTTATGAATACTAATAAAATATAAAAACCAAAACTAAGGCCTTGATATCCCTCCCAACTAACTCCCACTTTAATTCTTCATCACCACCCCCATACACCAATCTCAGTAATCCCCAAATCCAACATTTTACCATTAAAACCAATTATTTGGAGGAAAAAGACATTTAATTTCATACTTGCTCTAGCCCTTATTCAATGCATAACAATAACAAAAACATTTTTAAGCACATGGAAATGAACCTACTAACCTGATTTTTGGAGCCAAAAATTCTCCACTGTATTTTATCTATGTGCAAAAAGTATTGGTACTTTTCAGTTTATACATTTGTTAGTATCTTGTGTCTGGCTTGATAGTATTTTCACTCTTAGGCCTACTATAGAGTCTATAGAACTATCATTAAGTTTTCAGTTAATACCTATGGATTAGAAAATCCTTCTATCACGTTCTTATACCATATTATCCTAGGTTTCTTCACCATTTATTTCACCTTTCTAGCATAGTCACTGCATGGCAAATGTATGAAACAGACGTTTATAGTAAATTGGCACAGCAAAGTACCAGTATATATAGGAAGCTGCCAGTTAAGACAGACCTGGAAAACAAACTCATCTAGCTGCTATAGAAACCTTTGCATAGTTGTTACTCCATTTTAATAGGAGTTATGTTCTTGTAAAATGTGCCTCACTTTTAGTCCACTTTTTTAAAGTACTTCAGAAGCACACTGAAAACTCAGATCTAGGGGTGGCTGGGTGAAGTAGACAGTAGAATCTGAGTGCCAAATTGCCCCTGAATGGGCAGAAATCTCAGTGAATGTTACTAATGTACCATAGCACACTGTAACCAAATTTGTAAACAGCTGTGGAGTTTCTATGCCCACATTTTGTTAGTGATGTTACTGTCGAGACTGGGGTGGATTAACGGCTTCAGGGTATACATGAATCACTTAAAATATGAATGGTTTTAACTGTACTGAGGTAAAGATAAGTTGCCACTTAATTATATACAGTTACCAATGAAGATTTTTATTCAAGCTTAAAGTAGAAAGTAATTTTAGTTAAGAAAAATGAAGTACCAGATAAATTATAACATAGTTATTCTAACTCAGAAGTATCAAAACAGGAGTTCTTTGATTTTCTTAAGTGGTGGCCTCTGCAAAACGGAGTTTAAATCTTTTACATACCAATTTCATAAAATGATCTGCTGACCACGATCTGTCATTTTCTCTTACTATGGTTTTGGGAGAATGCATGCTATTTTAAGGCCAAATGTGTTTTTCTTTCTTCTCCCCTTCCCTGACTTTTCCCTTTCTCCCTGCTGTCATCCCCTGCCCCCAAACTATAATGGAAGAATTTGATACCCAAGCCTTTTTTCTCTTCCTTGTGGATTGTAAAGGTGTCTACTCAAGGTAATAATATATTATAGGCTTGGCTAGGTCTAAAGGGGAACTTTAGTATAAGACTTTTTCTTCACCAGAACCTTATTTCAGAGGTATTCCCACTCCTCTCCCCAACATAACAGCTACAGTCACCCTATTGATCCTCTACTGAAAAAGGGAGGGAAAGGGAGACTACATTGTATTCAGCTGTTGTGGGTTTAAAAGCACAATGTGAACATCAGGCTTTTGGCTTATTTTAAATGTGAAATTCTCAAAATTAAAAGTGTTTTTCCATGAAGGAAACCTTTCCTTTAACTAAAAGGGGATGGGAAAGGAAAAGACTATCCACAGCACCAGTTTAGAATGAGGTTTGATATGGCAATATCTGAAAAACTGAGAAGGAATATTCTTTAAATTTATGTATCTCTATATATGAAAATATTAAGGGCAATTAAGAGAAATGACTATGTGATTTTAATCCCAGTTTAAGTATGTTTTTGTAACTTGCTTAATTCTTCTAACAATTTCAATTATACTATAAACTACTGAAGTGGTTATATCTGCCAATTTCTACCGTCTTGCTAGATCACACCAAAATGAATTCCCAAGTTGAGAACAACTTGGAACAAGCTTTATTGGAAACCAACTGACTACTGATTTTCCACGGTATATTTAAAATTCTCTTTTGAATTTAAGATTGGGCACTGATGTTCTTTCAGGAATAAAACAAAAAGGGGAAAACCTTCAAAGTATTATTCTGCACTTCCTGTGTAATGTTCTTCCAAGGACTGTTTCTGACCATGTCTCATGTGGTATTCCAGAAGAGGATCAGTTAAACTGCATATCTAAGTCAGGAAACTGTTTTTAAGCTGGTTTAGATTCCAAATGTATACAAATGAAGTCACTTTAATCCTATAAATACTTCTTAATTTATTTTTAAAAAAATTGTGCTGTTAACCCTTTTACGGGGCAACAAGCTATGTGAAAAGTACAAAACTTTTTGTCAAATGTAATATTGAGAGTGCTTTTGACATAGTTCACTGGTTTATCATCTGGATCAGTATATACTGCGCAACGGGCAAGGCTAGAATCCATGAACCAAGCTGCAAAGATCTCAAGCTAAATAAGGCGGAAAGATTTGGAGAAACAAAAGAAGGAAATTCTTTCCTATCCAATGTATACTCTTCAGACTAATGCACTCTTTCTATCAAGCCTTCTAAACTGTTAAATAAAGTTTTCCAAACAAGCATTTAAACTTCATTACACAGAAGAGCAACAAGAATGGTATCCTGCCACACAAAAGGCAGGAGGGAAAAAAATATATATACTGAGTTCAATGGGTAAGCCTGAATGTAGCACAGTTCTTCACAACCGATGGGGGATAATTCAACATGGTGTCCAACAACGTTCTAACGACGTGCTTCATCTCAACTGGTTACTATGAAGCAAGGTGTAAATGTTTGGCCCCAATCGGGCTTCAGAAATGGTTCTTTTTTCATGACGAGCATGTCTGTCCAGCTATCAATCATGTTTGTTTGCACCAAATCCCAAGCCATTAAAATACGACTAATTTTAAGTTAAACAGAAGTCGTCTGCTCCGAATTCGCCATCAACTATCCATGCTACTGCATTCCTCTGAATGAAGACGGATGAAATGTGTATGGGGGGAGGGAGAAGAGGAGAGAGAGAAAAAAGTTACTAGTTAGAAAAAGTTTCAAAATCATGACATTAAAAAATACAGTAAGATTAAGAAGTAATTATTACCAAGGCAAATAATTCATTCTTTCCTCATCATAACCATTAAAACAAAGTGTCTGCATCATGTTTTAGGCTATGTATGATTACTTTGAATACTGGAGAAATTAAAGGGAATAGTCATATTAGAATATCCTACTTTAAAAATCAACCTTGAAGTAGTTACACAGAACAGAAAAATCTTTTTGATAGCTTACAGTATAAAAGAGGAAAGATCTGGCAGGGGGGAGTTCTAAGGTATAACTATGCATTATAACTATGTAGTTGTTAATTCTTTCAGTTGCTCAGTTTGAAACCAACTCTACTCCATTTTAGGGTGGTGATATATAACAGATTGAAATATTATTCACATACTATACAATGTACCTATTTAAAGTGTACAAATCAATGTATTAGTGTATTCACAGGAATGTACAACCATCAACAATTTTAGAACATTTTTATGACCCAAATTAGCACACACACTTCTCTCTATACTAAAACTACTATATTTCCTTTTGTCTATAGATTTGTCTATTCCAGACCATTGTATATAAATACAATCACATGTGGTCTTTTTTTTTTTCCTTGAGACAGAGTCTTACTATGTCGCCTTGGTAGAGTGCCGTGGCTTCACAGCTCACAGCAACCTCAAACTCTTAGGCTTAAGCAATTCTCTTGCCTCAGCTTCCCAAGTAGCTGGGACTACAGACTCCCGCCACAATGCCTGGCTATTTTCTTGTTGTAGTTGTCACTGTTGTTTTAGCAGACCTGGGCCAGGTTCAAACCCCCAGCCTGGGTGTATGTGGCCGGCACCCTAACCACTCTGAGCTATGGATGCTGAGCCCACATGTGGTCTTTTGCATCTGGCTTCTTTCACTTAGCATATTGTTCAAGGTTCATTCATCCATACTATAGTATGTATTCAACTCATTTCATTTTATATATCTCTCAAAAACAACAAAAATACTCAGTCTATAAAAGGTCAGCAAATTATCTCTTTTGAAATAGGGTTGGTAAGTGAAATACTTATTATAGTATCATTATGATGTTATGATCTTTAAATATTTCCTTTAGCTTCATCTATATTTTTCAAAAGTTCTATTCCAAGTATTTATTACTTTAATTAGAAAAAAAAGTTTTCAAGTAGGTAGAGGAGGAAAGACACCACTGAAAATATTGGCAAAAGAGGCACATCAACAAATACCTGGCTATACATGTATAAAAGTTGTTATTCTATTGTAGTTGAAAATAATTTTTTAGGGCTGTACCCATACTGTCAAAGCACCAATGGTGCTGAATTGGACCCAGATCTTATAACTGAGCCAAAAGTTACTCACCCGCTAAAGTGAGTATCCACGTTAATCAAATTTAGCAAACAACAGTGCAACTCTTACTCCACTGCAGTGGAGGCATAAAACATATCCTCCTATGGGTCAAATCTGTTACCATCTACGTAATATTTTCCTACTTTTTCAGATTAAATGTTTATTTGAAGAAATAACTTTCAAATGACTAAAAATCAGAAAATCATAGGTAATCACTGCTATAAATCTATGAAGACTATCTCAGAGCAAGCCTTGAAAAACTCAAAACAGGACAACAGGAGAAGGTAAAGATGTCTGATCTTAACTGATTTCCTAGAGGAATGTTAGAAGGTCGTGTAGTGACCTGCAAATACAAAAAGGCCTGTCAAGGGTTTGAACAACTGAAGAGTAGTTCTCAAGCTTTTGACCATATCCTCTTTGTGTTTTGTATTTTCATCTTTGGCTGAATACCCTCATCTGCTAGAAAGATATGGTTAAGCATTCTGGAGTCTGTACCATAAAGACAAAAGCAAGGTGTATTTTTGAATTTTTTTGAACCATACATGCCCTCGTCCACTAAGAATCACTGAACAGGCTTGGCGCCTGTGGCTCATGTGGCTAAGGCGCCAGCCACATACACCTAAGGTGGCAGGTTCGAATCCCCAGCCCGGGCCCGCCAAACAACAATGATGGCTGCAAC